CCTGATCCCCCTTTTTTCATCCTGATCCTCTTTTTTCCATCCTGATCCCCTTTTCCCATCTTGATCCCCTTTTTCCATCCTGATCCCCTTTTTCCATCCTGATCCCCTTTTCCCATCCTGATCCCCCTTTTCCCATCTTGATCCCCCTTTTCCACACCCAATCCCCCTTTTCCACACCCGATCCCCCTTTTCCACACCCGATCCCTCTTTTCCAGGTGCGGGGATCCCCTTTTGGGCTCTCCCAGCCTGACCCAGAGCAGGCACAGCCGCCACCTCAGGGCCTGCGCGGCGGCCCTGGCGCGCTTCGGCCGCCGTGACACCGGTGACATCGGGGACATCGGGGACATCAATGACACCAGGAACACTGGGGGCATCAGGGACACCGGGGACATTGGTGACACCAGGGACATCAGTGACACCGGGGACACCAGGGACACCGGGGGCATCAGGGACATTGGGGACACCAGAGACCTCGGTGACATCAGGGACACTGGGGACACCGGGGGCATCAGGGACACTGGGGACACCAGAGACCTCGGTATCGGGGACACCGGGGGCATCAGGGACATTGGGGACACCAGGGACATTGGGGACATCAGGGACACTGGGGACAGTGGGGACACCAGGAACACTGGGGTCACCAGGGACATTGGGGTCACCAGGTGCATCGGTGACACCAGGGACATGGGGGACACCAGGGACACTGGAGACATTGGGGACATCGGGGACATCAGTGACACTGGGAACACCGGGGACACCAGGCGCACCGGTGACACCAGGGACATTGGGGACACCAGGGACACTGGAGACAGTGGGGACACCAGGGACATGGGGGACATCAGGAACACCGGGGACACCAGTGACACCAGGAGCATTGGGGTCACCAGGCACACCGGTGACACCGGTGACATCGGGGACGTGGCGCTGGCAGCGGAGCAGCTGCGGCTGGCGCGGCGGGAGCTGGGCAGGATCACCGGGCACGTGGGAGCCGAGGATGTCCTGGAGATCATTTTTCGGGATTTCTGCGTCGGGAAGTGACGGTGACGCTTTGTGGGGACCGCGGTGCCACCCGGAATAAACCGCGGTGACTTCGGTGGCTTCGGTGTCGTCCCCTTCGCTGGTGGGAAGCGGAAGTCCCGAATTCCCAAAGAAAAATCCCTGGAAAAGGTCTCGTTTCCTGGCTGGGGGGAGCTGGAAGGGGAAAAGCCACCCCGGGTGTCCCCAGCTCGGGGTGTCCCCACCCTCAGTGTGACACGGGGGACACCCCTGCGCCACCACGGCCCAAGGATCCAGCGGGAGGGGCTTTGGGATCCATCCCGATCCATGGAATCCGGAATGGGAATCCCCCCGAGCCGCGGCGGACTGCGGAGCTCTGCCACCCCAAAAGCGGTGGCACCTCTTGGGGACACCCCTGTGCCACCACCCCCCCCTCCGCCACCTCCCAGGCGGCGTTCCCGGGCTCGGGAAGCACCTGGTGCTCCCAGATTATCCATGGAGGAATTCCAGGAAATCCTCTGGCAGTGCCTGAGACACCCCCGCCCCCTCCCCAGGCCTTGGGGACAGACTTTGTGTCACCTTTGTCACCTTTGTCACCCTGGGCAGGACGGGGGGGACGCGGTGGCATCGCCATCCTCGGGGGGGTGGCAGTGCCCTGATGGGGCTGGGGACAGGGCTGGGGACAGCGCGGGGCGCCGGGGAGGGGACAAGGGACACTCCGCGACACTCCGGGAGGCCTCGGTGGCGCCTGGCACCGGCCGCGCAGGAAAAGGATTTTCCACAGGAAACGCGGCCTGGAAATCCCGGGAATAAATCCCGGGAATAAACCCTGGGAATAAATCCTGGGACTAAATCCCGGGAATAAATCCTGGGAATAAATCCCGGGAATAAGTCCCGGGAATAAATCCTGGGAATAAATCCTGGGAATAAATCCCGGGAATAAATCCCGGGAATAAATCCTGGGAATAAATCCTGGGAATAAATCCCGGGAATAAGTCCTGGGAATAAATCCCGGGAATAAATCCCGGGAATAAATCCTGGGAATAAATCCCGGGAATAAATCCCGGGAATAAATCCCGGGAATAAATCCCGGGAATAAATCCCGGGACTAAATCCCGGGAATAAATCCTGGGAATAAATCCCGGGACTAAATCCTGGGACTAAATCCTGGGAATAAATCCCGGGAATAAATCCTGGGAATAAATCCCGGGAATAAATCCCGGGAATAAATCCCGGGAATAAATCCTGGGAATAAATCCCGGGACTAAATCCCGGGAATAAATCCTGGGAATAAATCCTGGGAGTAAATCCCGGGAATAAATCCCGGGAATAAATCCCGGGAATAAATCCCTGTCCCGCTCCGGGGGGGTCGGGGGGACAAGGACAGCGCGGTCCCTCTTCCTCTGGGGACAAGGACATCCCTGTCCCTCCTCCTCCTCCTCGGGCGTTTCCAGCCCCTCGGGATGGAATTCCCGCTCCCCATCCCGATTTTTCCATGGATTTCCGTGCACACGAGCGGCGAGTTGTCCCGAAATTCGGGGCCAGGGGGGACAAGGACAGCGCGGTCCCTCATCCTTTGGGGACAAGGACATCCCTGTCCCTCCTCCTCCTCCTCGGGCGTTTCCAGCCCCTCGGGAGGGAATTCCCGCTCCCCATCCCGATTTTCCCATGGATTTCCACGCACACATTCTGGCGAGTTGTCCCGAAATTCGGGGCCGGCTGTTGTCCCGCTCCAGCCGGAAGGCGGGGATACACCCGAGGGGACACGCGGGGTGGCTTTGGGGACACGGGGACAGCGGGAGGGTGGCCCTGGGCGCGGCTCTGCCATCCGTGCTGCGGGAAGCACTTCCTGGGCGGCTCCTGCTTTTCCCGGGGGTTTTCCTGGATGTTATCCGCTGCGGGAAAAACGGGATCAGGCGGGGGGCGGGTCCCGGGGAGGGTGGCCCGGTGTCACCTGTGTCCCCTCACCTGGGGCTCTTGAGGGTGGCCATGAGCTGCTCCATCACCTGCAGCATCTGCTGGAGCTCCTCCAGGTTCTTCTTCCCTGGGGGAACGGGGATGGGATCCGTGGGATCCGTGGGGTTGGGATGGGATCCGTGGGATTCATGGGATTGGGATTGGATCCATGGGATCCATGGGATCCGTGGGGTTGGGATGGGATCCATGGGATTGGGATTGGATCCATGGGATTCGGATTGGATCCATGGGATCCATGGGGTTGGGATGGGATCCATGGGATTGGGATTGGATCCGTGGGATTCGGATTGGATCCATGGGATCCGTGGGGTTGGGATGGGATCCGTGGGATCCGTGGGGTTGGGATGGGATCCATGGGATTGGGATTGGATCCATGGAATTGGGATTGGATCCATGGGATCTGTGGGATCCATGGGGTTGGGATGGGATCCATGGGATCCGTGGGATCCATGGGGTTGGGATTGAATCCGTGGGATTGGGATTGGATCCACAGGATTGGGATGGGACCCGTGGGGTTGGGATGGGATCTGTGAGATTCATGGGATTGGATCCATGGGATTGGGATGAGATCTATGGGATCTGTGGGATCCGTGGGATTGGGATGGGATCTGTGGGATTGGGATGGAAATGGGATTGGGATGGAACTGGGATGAGATGGGATGGAATTGGGATGGGATCCATGGGGTTGGGTGGGATTGGATCCACGGGATTCATGGGATTGGGATAGGATCCATGGGATGGGAATGGGATCCATGAAGTTGGGATGGAATTGCGGTGGGGTGGGATGGAATTGGGATGAAATTGCGGTGGGGTGGGGTGGAATTGGGATGAAATTGGGATCCATGAGATTGGGATAGGATTGGGATTGGGATAGAATTCATGGGATTGGGATGGAAACCTTGGGATGGGATGGAATTGGGATGGGATGACACGGTGACCCCCCCGAGTGTCCCAGTGCCAGCAGGACTCACCCATGGTGCCCAGCGTGGCCGGGTTCCGCAGGAATTCCATGTAGGAGCCGGGGCCAGAGAAGGAGCTGGAGCGGGCGGCGCTGCCCGGCCCCCGCGAGCCCGGCAGCTCCAGGTGGGGCATCTGGGGGGACAGCGGGGACACCGGGCAGGGGTCAGGGGGGACACCGGGCAG